GGGACTTGCTTTGTCTCATATGAGACTTTGGACTGTGGCTTTGGATTAGCGCTGAATGAGTTAAGACTTTGGGGGACTGTTGGGAAGGTGTGATTGATTTTGAAATGTGTGGACATGAGATTTTGGAGGAACCAGGGGTGGAATTATGTGGTTTGGCTGTGCCCCCACCCAAATCTCATCTTGAATTTCCACATGTTGTGGGAGGGACCTGGTAAGCGATCATTGAATCAAGGTGCATGTCTTTCCTGTGCTGTTCTTGTGATACAGAATAAGTCTCAGGAAATCTGATGGTTTTGAAAAGAGAAGTTTCCCTGCACAAGCTTTCTTTGCTTACTGCCGTCCATGTAAGACGTGACTTGTTCTTCCTTGTCTTCCTTCATTATTGTGAGGCTTCCCAAGTCACATGGAATTGTAAATCCATTAAACCCTTTTCCCTGTATAAATTACCCAGTTTCAGTTATGTCTTTGTCAGCACCATGAAAACATACTAATTCAACCCCCTCCCCATCTTACCAAGATTCAGTACTTTTTTTTTAATAGATATTTTCCAGTTGTTTTTTGGCCTTCGTGTGTAATCATCTGAGGGGTTCTTCCTGCCCACTGCATAAAGAAAGACCATGAATTGTAGCAGAGAAAGAGTTTAATAGACATGGGGCTTGCTATATTATTTGGGAGATGAAGTTTGTACTTAAATCAGCTCATTCAAAGATTATAGGTTAGGACTTTTCTGTTCCCACTCAAATCTCATGTCAAATTGTAATCCCCAGTGTTGGAGGAGGTGCCTGGTGGGGTGTAACTAGATCATGAGGGTAGACTTCCCTTTTGCTGTTCTCATGGTAGTGAGTGAGTTCTCATGAGATCTGTTTGTTTAAAAGCGTGTAACACCTCCCCCTTTGCTCTCTTCCTTCTTCTCTAGCCATAGGACATGTCTGCTTCCCTTTCACTTTCTGTCATCATTGTAAGTTTCCTGAGGCTTCCTCAGTCATGCTTTCTGTATAGCCTGCAGAACTGTGAGCCAACTAAACTTCTTTTCTTTATAAATTACCCAATCTCAGTCATTCTTTTTAGCAATGTAAGAATGGATTAATACACTGAGTGTTCATTATTCAGCCATATAAAGAATGAGGTCCTGTTATTTTTGACAACATGGATAGAACTTAAGTCATTATGTCAAGTGAAGTAAACCAGGCACAGAAAAGCAAATTTCTAAATTATTTGTGGGAGCTAGAAATGAAAACAATTGAACATATGGACACAAAGTGTAGAAAAATGCTTACCAGAGGCTGGAAAGGGTAGTGGGAAGTTTGGGGGGAAATGGGGATGGTTAATGGGTACAAAAAGTAGAAAGAATGAGTAAGATCTATTTGATACCACAACTGGATGACTATAGTCAATAATAACTTAATTGTATCTTTAAAAGTAACTTAAAAAGTATAAATTGATTGTTTGAAATACAAACAACAAATGCTTGAGGTGATGGATATTCCATTTACCCCGATGTGATTATTATACATTGTATGCCTGTATCAAAATATCTCACATATCCCATAAATAAATGAAGAGGATGCAGGGAATTATGGCAGACATCCCTCTTAACCTGGAAACTTAAATCTATGATCTCTTGGCTCTCTATATATTTTGCATTAGATACGTTTGTAATACAACAAATAAATGTGAGCCAATTTTTTGCCTCTCTATGGAAAGAGATCCAGAAAGCTTGTTGGTTGGGGTTCAAGGGAAGAATAAAAAAGAAAAGAAGTATAATTTAAGTTTTGGAGTAGGAAAGGGTAAAAAGGGACCTCAGCAAAAGTGAGAGAGAATTTAGATCTTTTTGTGGTGGTAGGCCAAAGGAATCTAGATTGAGAAAGACCTGGATATGGGCATTGGGAGTGCTAATCCAGACTGAGGAAAGAAACCAGCAAATGTCATCTTGCAAGCTGAAGGACTTCAAGTATTTGTGGTTTCCTAATCTGAAAGAGCTTGTAACTTGTTAAACTCCTCACCATTGATGTCAGTGGAGGTTTTAAAATTACTAGCAAGAATTGGATGAGTGTGTTACTGTTCTGATAACTTGCTGTAATTGATGCAGGGGACCTACTGCAAGGAGTAATATAGGAGATAAAGTCAAGGGTTCTGGATGATGGTAGCCATGATGGAAAAGTAGTATCTATCCTATTACCCTGATCCATCTTGATACAACTGTGGGTAATCCCATACATATTTAGATTGGGGTAGCTTTAGTTAATCCATTCTTCTATTACAGTTTCTGTGTGATTAGTTGGTCTGATGAAATGGGTTCTATTCTAATATTTTGTTATGGCTCCAAATCCTGTACCCAGGAAGGTTTTCCTAAAAGAAACTATTTAAAAAATTTTTTTAACATGAAATGTATATAATGTTATCATGACATAAAGTCTCTCTTACCCTGTTCTCACCTTTCTCAGGCAAGAATAATAAATGCCTCTGGTGGAACTTTTGCTCTGGTGGAACTGCTTTTCTAGAACTGGTGAGTGACTTGACACTGGAAAAGTTTTATTACTATTAGTAGTTGTTATCTCTTATGGCCTGGGTGAGTAAAAGTTCTTTTTGTGATACTAACCTCTATTCACATTCTCCTATTACTAAAAAAAAATCTTCCATTTCTGAATCCTGGGAAAAATAATTTTTTCTTTCAAAAAACATTTATTGAGCACTTGCTACTTGTCAGGCAGTGTGGATACAATAGGAAATAAGACAGAATTCTTAACCTTGAGAATTCATATGCTGGAGGGTATGTCTGATAAGAAAATAAGCAATGCAATTATAACACACTGTGTTAAGAGCTATTACAGGAGAAGTATAAACAGCTATTGATGCCTGTAGAAGAAACACATAACCCAAAGCTGAAGGGTAAGGAGAAGTGACATAAATAATGTAAAATGTATAGTCAGTTTGTTGTTATAGGGCCTTTGGAGTGCAGGAGTTCAGTTGCAGCTACAACATTTACTAGTTCTGTTTCCTTATACAAGTTTCATAACCTGTTAAAGCTTCAGTTTTCTTATATTCAAAACAGGGACAATAATAGCACTCACCTCATTGGCTAGCTATGAAAATAGATGAGTTAATACATAGAAATTGCTTACCACAGTGGTTTTGTAAATAATAAAAAATGGAAGCTCATTATTACTACGCTGAGAGCCGAAGGGTTATTAAGATTTAAGAGTGAATGGGAGTGATCAGTGTCAGAAGTATATTCCATGCAAAGAGAGAGCATATTACATGCTTGGAGGCAGAACAGATTATGGGGAGTTTGAATAACTAGAAGAAATTCAACATGCTGTAATATTGAGTATGAAGGAGCTGAGTAAAAATAGATGAGGCAGGAGAGGTAGATGGGGGACGTATAGAGATGTTTGGCTTTTATTCCAAGAGTATGGAGAGTCATCAAATTATTTCTTGCAGGGTACTGACACAATTAGACTTGCATTTTAGATCACGCTGGTTGTAATTCAGAAAAATGAATTGAAGGAAGAGATTGGAAATGGGGCTTTTAAGATGACCTTATTATAGAAATTTCTATTGTTCTCTTTCTTTTCTTCTTCTTTTTTTTTTGAGATGGAATCTCTGTCACCAGGCTGGAGTGCAGTGCCACAATCTCGGCTCACTGCAACCTCTGCCTCTTTGGTTCAAGCGATTCTCCTGCCTTGGTCTCTTGAGTAGCTGGGGCTATTGGCATGCTTCACAATGCCCAGCTAATTTTTGTATTTTTAGTAGAGATGGGATTCACCATGTTAGCCAGGATGGTCTTGATCTCTTGATCTCAGGATCTGCCCGCCTCAGCCTCCCAGTGTGCTGGGATTACAGGCATGAGCCACTGCGCCTGGCCAGAAATTTCTATTTTTGAAATGACTAAGTAAAGATGGTACTGTTCTCCTATTCTTTCAGAAATCAACCCAAGGTAAGAAGAACAAAAAACAGAAATGTAAACTTCATCGTTTTAAAAAAACTAGATGAAACCTATAAACCTTAATCACAATATATGAGGGGGCATTACCAAGAGCAGTTATGGGTGAAGAGGAGTATAGGCAGATACAGAGAGGTACTGCTTGCATCTGTATACCTCAAGCAAAAGTGGGAAAATACCCAACAATTCCTTATTTGGAATAATGGGAAGGTGGTAGTGGAAGCTTCTCTAGCCCACTCAAGTCAATACCAGTAAGAAGCAGGATTGGTAGGAAGGAGGGAAAAATCACACTAATAGACCATATATGAGTTTTACATTTTATTTTATTTGTGGTACAGGGTGGAGGAAAGACACTATGTGTTGGGTTCAGCGCTATAGAAACTGGTTTTAGATGACTTTGGAGAAGTTAAAAAATAAAACAAAAATGTTGACACAGGGTTATATTAACTAGGAAGTCACTGTTAACTGGGAAGAATTTCTGCTAATCCAGAAATTCTTGGCTTAGCAGAAAGAAAGGTCTTACCTCCTTCCTCTTATAAATCTCCTGCCAATAATGATCATAAGAAAAACTCATCACATTCAAACATGAGCAGTAATCAAAGGGTAATTAACATAGGATCTATATAAGTACAAAAAAATAAAGAATGAAAAAAACAGTAGACACCAAAACAAGCAGAGAAAGAAAAACTCTTATCAGAAAAGAAAGTTGTCATAGATCACATAAAAATTTTGGACAAGCATGAATCAAAATATAAAACAAACTAACAAACCTTAATTATGTACTCCTTAAATATGAACTCAAAACAAAGAACTCCAAGGGCTCAGAGAAGACATACTAAGACCACAGAGGGACTTGAAAAATGAGCTCAGGGAAGAAATGGAGAATTAAAAAAAAACCATAATAGGAATGAAGGTCTCATTGGAAGAAGCCCAAAGAAAACTAGATATAACTTAAAACACTTTGGAGATGCAGAAGATGGAATGAAGAAATGCCAAAAAAAAAAAAAAAAAAAAGAAAAAAAAGAAACAATTCGCCAAAAGTTTAGAAGTATTAGGGACAAAAATAATTGATAGGAAAGATAGGAGGACGAATATAAAACAGTGAGTATAGATTCCATGGACTAAATGTAATACTTAAATATATAATTCAAAAATATTTTCTAGAAACAAAAAATGTCTTGGATGTATGTATGGAAATGGTATCCTAGGAAAACTTGACACGACATTGTTAACATTTATGTTATATTCAAGCAAAATTAGTATTCAAAGATTAAGACTCTTTTATGCAACGAGGCAAAAAATCCTAATTGCATGTAAGAAAACAAATTCAGACTGGCTCAGACTTCTCCACAGCAACGATCAATGCTAGAAAACAATGAAATAATGCTTAAAATTCCTCAAGGAGAGAAAGTGTGGATCCAGAAATGCATTTCCAGATAAGTTATCCTTCTAGTAAAAAGGTAGCAGATATCTTTGACTATGCAAAAACCTAGAGAATAGAACTTTCATGAATTTTTATAGCAGATGGAAAACCTCAACAACCACAGGTAAATGGAGAAATTATGGCAAAAACAGTGGCAGTGATGTACCAGTATGATTTAATGTGTGATTAAGGTAAAAATAAACATGGGGATTACAGTTAGGAATTTATTTTATAAACTCTGACAAAGTGGAAATAATACAACAAACAAAAGATGGGAAGGGGGGAAAATGGGAGGTAGTGTAAACACTTTTTATAATTAGAAGCCAAAATTATTTAAAATATAAATGAAATAATTGAAGGTAAATATATTTAAAACTTTAAAGACAAGTACTAAGATACATCTTACAATTCACTAACATTAGGTACTGGAGTAAGAAGGAAGTGAAAATCAAATGGAAATAGACTAATTTATTTAATCGTTGTTGATACTATGGAGTCAATAGATACCATCCAATGAAATAGAGAATTAAATACGTTTTACACTTAGGTTAGCCCACAGATATATTTGCAAATGTGAGAAATAAGGTATATGAAAGGTTGTTTATTGCAACATTTGTAAAAGCCAAGGATTGTGAATCAGGGATGTGCCCATTAATTGGAACCAGTGAAATAATTATGGCATATCCATTCAGTACAGCTCAGGGGTGGGAGGGATACATTTTATTGTATACCTTTTGGTAATTTAACATTTTTTTGTGCCATGTATGTATACACTTTACTTTTAAAAATAACTTTTATTTTTAAAAAATTTAATTTGTAAAAAGAGGCTATTTAAATCATTTGTATTAGACATGATGATAGCCCGTGTTAGACAAATGGCAGTGGCATGGAAAGAAGTGGATGGACTGGAAGTATTATCAGTCGGATTTGGTGTTAGAATGATGAGAGTAAGGAAGAGGAGGGAGTCAAAGACGTCTATGTTTCTTCTAGTTTGGGTAACGGGATAGATAGAGGTGGCATTCCACAAGATAGGATATACTGATTCTCCATGGATCTGTTCTCAGCATTCATCCCTCATCTCTCTATATAGAATTCTATCTCATCCCCTTCCATTACTTTAGATATTACATAATTGTGAACAGTTTCCATATCTTTCATAAACTAGACTACCTGGTTATCAGACGTCCCCTGGATATTACTTATAGCACTTATCCTTAACTAGTGACAAGACCCAAGATCATAAACTTTAGATCTAAAATGGACCTTAGAAACTCCTCATGGTCCAGCCCTTTTATTTTACCAATGAAAACCCTAAGACATAGAGGCATTATGTGACTTTTGGATTTTTGTTGTAAATTTAAATAAGTTGGGGTATGAAATCACATATTTTTGATCTCCCTACTCTTTATTTAAATAATAAACTAAAACATTTATAAACAGTGAACACTAGAACAATTTTGTCCTTTAACAATGTGTGGCAAGTAGGCAATGTATGGGAATTAATGAGAACTTGTCTTCATCTCTGTGATCTCTGCCACTCTGGCTTCAAAATCTTTCTAGCTGCCTAGACTTAAAGCCTGAGACTTCCTTATTCTCTTATTCTAAGGAACACTCCACATCAATCCACTGTTGAGTGACTTTGGTTCTCTTTCTCAAACATCTTACATCCGTGTCTTTTTCTCTGTTGCTGTGGTTTACGTTTTCCTCTCTGGATGATGTCAGTGGCCTTCAAAGTGATCTCCTTGAATTTAGGCTTTATCTTTTTCCACTTACCTTCTAAGGGTAAGTTTCTCTTTATCCATAGTTTTCCCTTCTGCGGTCTCAGTTACCCACAATTGCACTCTAAAAATGTTAAATGAAAAATTCCAGAAATAAACAATTTATGTTTTAAGTCGCACAAAGCTCTGAGTAGCATAATGAAATCTCATGTCATCCCAGTCTGTCTTACCCGGGATGTGAATCATTCCTTTGTCCAGAGTATCCTCACTGTGCACTCTGCCTACTCGTTAGTTTCTTAATAGATGTCTCAGTTATCAGACTGAGAAAATGCAGTGTACATTGGGTTCAGTACCACCCAGAGTTTCACGCATCTACTGCAGGTCTTATCACCAGTGGATGAGAAGGGACTAATATATAGCAAAATATTACTTTCTAAAACCGTGGATCTTTTTGCAACCTCTTGTAAAATTTTCAATGACTTTTGAAAGCAGATAGATCAAAGTCCAGATTTCCTGATGGCATTCGAGGCCCTCCATGAGTTTGAACTAGCCCTTGTTTCTGTTTTGATTTCTAAATACACTTGCGACGGCAGCCATATCTGACTAGTCATCTTTTCCAGAATCCAAGCTGTACTTTTCCACTCATGTGTAGTAGTTCATCTTTTCCCATCTATTTGAAGTAACTTACTTTTGTTACAATTTAAGTATCCTTAAAGAGCTTGTTCATCTACCCTCTACTTTAGAAAGCATTTTCAGTGCAAGCTTTCTTTCCCTGTGTTCCCATGTCTCTGAATTTGTATCACCAATAGAATCATGTTCTCACAGTTTGCTTTCCATTTTACTTAGTGGTATTCTCTCCATGTCCCTTCCGTCATGCAGAGATGTTGTGTTTTTCATTTTGGTATACTATACTAACCTTCCCTTTCCCAATTTTTGCACCTTCTCAGGACTTAGAATATTTTCTGGATTGAATTGAGAACTCTTTGTGACTCCTCTGCAGAACTTCCGTGATCTGAAATTGGATTAAAATCTGAGGTTAGACACCAGAGGGATTATCCACAAACATTTAAGTAACAGTGGAACAAAAGTACCCTTGAGGTTTGTTGTACTTCCAAATGTCATTCTGCACCTGTGACTTTTCCCCCCCAGTTTTCATATCCTATTTATTTTGCAATTTGTTATATCTGGGGCAAAGTTTAAAAAGCGAAACATTATACTTAATTTGATTTCCCAAAGGGACTAGATTATGAATGCAAAGAATTTATTACCTGAGATAATAATGCAAGTTTTGAAACTTTTTTTTGAAAACATCTAAGATAGAGTAGAAAATTTTTGATTTTTTAAAAAGATATACCCGTCAATTGAGAACATCACCTTTGTGTGCTTCACATTTTCTTCCACTAGAGGGCAGCAAATATTCATAATGGAATCAGGCACTAGTTGAAACGCTTTGCGATTTCTTTTGAAATATAGTTTCCAATGCTAAATTGCACAAAATGCCTTTTCCATTAATCTAAAAAATGTATTTTATTGACTTTCTGGCTAACTGGAAATTAAGCCCTGTAAAGGCTTTTAAGTTTAGTAAAGCAAATTGTGCTCTATGGCAGAACATTTTTCTTACCTTAGTTTTTGACTTCATTTCTCATTTCATTTATTCATACAGCAAACATGTGTTAATCTCTATTGTGCTAGGCCCTGTGCTGTTCTTGAGGGCACAAAACTGAATAAGACATAATCCCTGCTGCAGAGAACGCTGTTTGATGAAAAAAATTGTTTTAGTATTTCTGTACTAAAGACGATGGAGTAGTAGTCACACTCTAAGAAATAAGAATGAGTGGGCCGGGCGCGGTGGCTCACGCCTGTAATCCCAGAACTTTGGGAGGCCAAGGTGGGTGGATCATGAGGGCAAGAGATCGAGACCATCCTGGTCAACATGGTGAAACCCCGTCTCTACTAAAAATACAAAAAATTATCTGGGCATGGTGGCGCGTGCCTGTAATCCCAGCTACTCCAGAGGCTGAGGCAGGAGAATTGCCTGAACCCAGGAGGCGGAGCTTGCGGTGAGCCGAGATCGCGCCATTGCACTCCAGCCTGGGTAACAAGAGCGAAACTGTGTCTCAAAAGAAAAAAAAAAGAAAGAAAACCAAGCTCGCTAGGTGTGGTGACTCACACCTTTAATCCCAGCACTTTGGGAGGCTGAGGTGTGAGCCCAGGAGTTGCAGGCCAGCTTGGGCAACATGTCAAAAGCCTGTATCTCTAAAAACAAAACAACAACAAAACAAAACGTTAGCCGAATGTGGTGGCACGTCTGTGGTCCTAGCTACTACTTGGGAGGCTGAGGTGGGAGGATCACTGGAACTTGGGAGATTGAGGCTGCAGCAAGCTGTGTTCGCACCACTGCACTCCAGCCTGGGTGACAGAGCAAGACCTTGTCCCCCAAAAAGCCAGTCATGTTTGGAGAAATGAGACATCCTGGAAAAATAAACAGCATCATATGGTAAGTGCTTTCTCTTGAGGTTTGTAATGGAGTCTTAATGAAGGTACCTGGATTCTTAAACAGTGTAAGGAATAAAGCAAAAGAGTTGGGCGATGGGGTCAAAATATCACCCTTTTTACTGATAGAGGCCAAATCGGAGGATTTGGTTTTAGATTTGTTAGCCAAATGATACCAGGTCCCCAAGTTAGCAGGCTGTCTATCTCCCCACCCCAGGAAGGCCAGGTTTGGGGTGATCCTCACCCCCAGCCTGTGCTTGCTGGGGTAGAGTCCCCAGAGGAGTAGTGAATTGTGTGCTCTCTGTAAGTGGTTTGCTCCCCAGAGGAAAAGTGGGAGGTTCTGAGCCAAGCATGCCCAATTTACTCTTCCTAAGTTTACCAATAAGATAAACCACTTCATCTCCTGTGAGAGAGAGAAGCCATAATTATAGTTACTGAGCTCCTCCAGGGAAGGAAATATCAGAAGTAGTGGAGATGATGCATTCCTCCCTAATATTTCCTAACTTCTGACAGCGACTTCCTGTTTACTTTTTTTTTGAGAAAGCTATTATAGTAGACAAAATAGGGGCTCCCAAAGATACCTGCATTCCAGTCCTGGAGCTTGTAAATGTCCTGTTACATGGCAAAAGGAAATTAAGGTGGTATATGAAATGAAGTTCACTGACCATCTGACTTTAAAATGAGAGATTTTCCTGGGTTGTTTAGGTGGACTGGTGTAATAAATATTAAGAGTGGAAGAGAGATATGGAGAATAATAGAGATGGCAGCATGAGAAAAACTTGGTGCTGAAAATATGAGAAAAGAGCTGTTATAACAAAATGGGAACTTCTGGTCCAGAAGAAGGGATTGTATGTATTTGAAGGAGTAGAGCTCAGTGTCTTGAAAGTTAGAAACTCTTGGCCACCCTCTTTGCCTAAGTCTTCAAGAGATGAAATTGGGTCTGCAAGAGAGAGGTAGTTATAATTTGCATAAACCAATCAAGGTCTGTGTTACTCTGTTTGTTTCCCTTTTGATATGCCTTGTCATTTAGTTAAGGCATGTTTGAATTTCTAGTCTTTTCCCAGTGGGCCACTGGACAAACAGAAAAGGTATACTTTCACAGCATGGGGTAGAGAGTTAAATGCAAAGTAGCACAACTTCACAACCCGGAGGCAGATATGATGATGGCATTAGTCATCTGCAAGAAGATTCAAAGGTGTGGAAAGAGTCTCAGGATGAAGTAGTGTAGTTCAGTTGCTTTTCTCCATTTGAAGATTCCTTGTCATTTCTGGACTGTATTATTGTTAATGTAGATGGCATTCCATTTTAAGAATTTACAGCCATATATATGTATATGGCTGTGTGTGTATGTATATATGTACACACACGTATATATGGATATATGTGCATGAATATATATATTCTACTTGAATATATATATTCTACATATGTATATGTATATATATATTCTACTTGAAATCAGAGCCATGTTTCCCACTTCCATGGGTATGCCCAGAAGCCTGGGCCATAAGGGGTAGACCAGTTAATAAAGCCTTGAGGATGAGTATGCCCACCAGTAGGTACCGTCCCATCAAGAAGATGCTTGAAAGCTAAGTCACTGTAACCATGATAGAGTTAATTCAATACATCCATTGTTTTCTTAGAGTTTCTACTAAGTAATAAACATGTGCTAGGTAGTTGCTGGAGTTAAATATAAATAAATAAGTAAAACAGTTTTCATCCTTAAGGAGTTCTAAGTATACTTGAAAAGAAAGACATGTAAGTGGATAGTGAGAACACAATATAAGATACATAAAAATAAAGAAGTTTATAAGATGCAATTTTCCATGGGCCCTGAGTATCCCCATATACTCCTTCTGGGTATACTAAGAATGAAAGCTTCTGATTCATCTCTACCTAAGCCATTCTCAGGGTTGGGTTTGCAGCATACAACCTTGAGCGATAAGGTAATTTCTTCCCCCAAAGAATAAACTTGCTTACTGCTCACTGTAAAAGTGCTGAATCTCCAAGTTTAGTGTTTCTCTCCTCTAAGGCAACCTACTGCATGTGTAGGCCACTGTCCCTAACTCACGTTGTTTTTTCTGTGATACATGGAGGATGTGAGGAACTGGCATGAACATGAAGCTTTGGCTACTACTTTTGCTGTAAGTAATGAAGTCCTTGGTCTCTGTCTAGGAATCTCATGTCTTCTGCCGGGATCCACGAACAGTAACAGGTTAATTTGTTAGCTTGTAAGTAGGGCAAAATCCTGGACACTTCACAATCCCTGACTATACTCTGCCTTGAGAAAATAAACTGATATTTTAGCGGAGACTTGAAGAATGAATGTGGATTTTTAGGCTGACACTAAGGTCACCTGTACCATGTCAAATAACAGTCAGGCAAAGCTACCCTGTGAATGTTTTAGCTCTCTTGTTAACTCCCTGTATATCTACTTGGTTCATTGTTCAATTCTTGGAAACATGGTGTATATTCTCTTTGTGTCATATTTTTTTATAGTCTATGGTACTTAGTGTGAAGAAAAAAAACAAAGATTATACATTCTCAGATATGAGCATGAGCCATCCAAAGTGTGTATGTATCAAGATTCAGCTTCTTATTGTCATTTTCAAATACCTATTTTGTTGGAGTTTTTAGTTTGATATTTTTATTTAGCTGATTTATCAATGTGAAATTACGTTTTATAAACTTTTGGAATAGGGTGAGTTTCAGGAAAGGTTTTCATAATGTTACAGGACTCCTTCCTTTATGTGGTGTTAAAAATACAGAGACTTGCTCTCTGAGATTTTTCTGGCTTTGTCCACCTATGCTACTTTGGAGTAGATATTCTGGTTCCTTTTCTCCTATTCTGAATTTTGGTTGCACTCACAGCAGTTTCTTTGTTCCACCCTTCTCCAGCACTCCTCTTTTTCATCATCTCCTTCCTGGAAGAAATGAACTGATAAAAGGATTCTGTTGTTATAACCGTCAGAAGGTGCCTAATTGCTTCTTTATCTTTCCCAACAAACAAATGCTAATACTATACAGGTTTTCTGGCTATTAGTGGTTCCTGACTACCCATTAGTATGTTGCGATTTATAGGAATACCTTGTGGTACTATTAATATCATTAGCTTGGCCAGTATATTTCTGCTGTATGTTATACCTCATGAGGTGATTTACCAAGATACCCTACCTTTACGAAAACGTCTCTTAAAATCTCTTAAGATCATATTTTATGATTGCATCTAGGCTATCTTCTGATCTTAATTGGATTTCTCCCTTAGAAGTGCTCATATGGATTAGCTGAGATATATAAATGCTCTTGGATATTTCTCATGATAAATTATTCATATATTCAATTCAGCCTTCTTTGGAGCCTACTATTTGTGCCACGCAGTATGAGCTGGAAACAAGAGTCAGAGAGTTGAATAAACCATGTACCCTACACTGAAAAAGCTCAAAGGCAGATGATTTGTTTGCTGGCATTAGGAATCTGTCTTTACCTCTGATGATGTCAGACCCCTAAAGAAACCTCTCA